GCGCAAGGGCGTGTTGGCTGTTGGTTTGGGTTGTGTGATTGAGGACTGCCGTGGCACAGCTGCTGGCCTGGCGGCAGGGGCTGTGAGCCGGGCTGGTAGTGGCGAGCAGGAGGCGGCAGCGAGGGGCGCTAACAAACGCCCTGCGGGCAGGGCCAGGACTGCGCCCCTGTGGGATGACCCGTGGCTGGCCGCCAGTCCAGCTAGAGAGCATGCACTCGCTCGCTTGGACTTAGTGTGCTGCAGGGCTCCGCTCAGCGCAGGGACTGCGCTTCCAGGTGACAAGAAGGGGCGCCAAGCGACGGGCATGCGGTGGTGTGGAGGCATGGCCCACCTGTTGTAGCTGTTCTCGTGTCGAACTTGACGCCGTTGTATGATTGCACATCACCGTCCTTTCGTCCATGGTGTGACCGCCCGGCCATTCTCGGCACCGTTGCTACACAGACACCGCGCGGACACATGTGAAATCTGGCAGGGTGGCCATTTTCGAATCATTGCTTGTATATATGGATCATAACCGCTGCCCGCTCCTGGATGAAAGGCAGGGGTATGCTTGCGTTGGGTGGCTGCGACGCAGAGCTCGCCAAGCCTTGTCGCCGGGGGAGAGATTTTCGCGACGTTGTAGGTTCATCTTGAAGTCGTGCAATCCCGTTAGGTTCGAGGGATATTGGTGTTTGTGACAGCGCGCTTTACTCAGTGGCGTTGCCTCGTAGCTCACGCACAGAAGCCCAAGATTATGGCATGTCCACAGGTGTGATCCGACCGCAGAGAGTCAAGTGCCTGGTATTTTGTAGAACAGCAATCGTGGAGAGATTTGTTACTGTATGCATAGGATGCAAGTGGCCCCTCATCACTCGATTGCCCCACTTCAATGTGGCGCTCAGCCAGCAGCACCGATGGGCGCCTCGTAGCTGGTGACTCCTGTAATTCTGACCTACAGAAGTGCGCTTACATGCATGCGCCAGCAATCCATGTGCATAAGACTGTTTACGTGCTCACATCAGCGGCGTCTGAACTGACATTGCACGCACAACAGCAGCTGCTGGTGGGTGCAAAGGCAAGCACACCAGGATTCACGTTCCCGTCGCTGGACAAAAGCAAAATCACCCAGCCACAGCAAGTGCCAATCACTGATTGTTGGAGACTCGCACGTCAACGAATGGTTGCAACGAGTGGCTCCAAGAGCCGAGGCCAAAGCGTGCCGCAAGTTCCAGCGTGGTCAGGGCAGTGTGATGGCTGGCTGCCCAAACCCGCAAGAAGCGATGCAAGAAACTGGATGCAAGATGGCCTGCAATGCAGCCAAAGTGTGGTGCAAGTTCATCACAATCCCAAAGTGGAAGTGTAGTGTGCGGGCTGGCTGGCCACCACGCGACAATCGACGCAACCCCGCGGATGGCATCTAACGGGCGCAGGTGATGCGCACTCATGAGACTCTAGGATCTGCGGGGTCCGCGCGATGTCTTTCTGCAATCGCAGTCAAAAGTCCACAGCATGGTTGGGAGACTCGGCAGCTTGAAGCACCCCTGGAGTCATGTGAATGGTCAAGGCAGTACAAGGTCTGGCCATGCTTATCCCCAGCCCGGTTGCGGGCCAGCGGCGCCAGCGCGCGCATGACCGCGCATATGGAGGCCGCGCCTGCCTTGTGCTCGCACACTGATCGTCTGTGTGCGGAGTTGTGCCAGCGTAGGGAGGCGAGGGTGGTGGGCCACTCTACTTGAGCTGGCCGCGGATGAAGCCGCCAGGGAACTCGGTTGAGTGGATGTTGATGTCTGAGGGGTGGGCGCGCGGAGTTGCATGCAGCAGCGGGTTGATTTGCGGTGGGTTGTGGTGGGTTGGTAAGGCGAGCGATGGCACACGAGCATCAACAGCAGATGTTCCAGCAGGGCGGCATGCGCGTACAAGCATCAGTGTATACGCATCAAACCAGCATCCAAACACAAGACCAGTCTGCCGGTAGACATCATCACCAATGACACCGCCGTGGGGGCATACGAGGTTGGCCTGCCTGCACTGCCGCAACCCACTGCCGGCCACAGCAGCAGCGGCCCACACCGTGGCCGCCAAGGGCGGCCCCCATCCAGGCCCGCAATCTCTGTGCTCCGCGGCGTTCCACTCACAAAGCTCAGTCTTGTTGGAGGTCAGAGCGAATACCCTCCCGAAGGTGTTCGGGCCGCTCAGGGGCACGTTCTCCGTCAGGAACGCGGATGTGAGCTTGTTGCCGAAGCCGCCCGTGCCGCCGGAGAACAGGAAAGTGATTACGGGGCCCGACTGGCCGGCGGCACCAATGTGGATGTGGCCCGCCTGCACGGTCTGGCCACTGAGAGTGTTATGCCCATGGGCAGGCGAGGCACATAAATGAGATTACCAGCCGGCCAGATGAGAGGGGGGGCACGAGGGTAGTTGAGAACAGTTGTGCAGTTCAGCGCGTGCATTCGCGGCCCGCAACTGTCGTGCGCTGATAGTCGCCAGGGCCTCGCAGGTCGCAGGTCGCACGCGTTGGCGCATGTGCAACGCGAGTGCCAGCGGGGTGCATTGACGCGCCAACCCACACATGCGCCAACCCTCGTGCTCGCCCGGCCTCGCCGCGCGCGCTCCATGACGCTCGCGCTGCGGCGCTCACGTGAGCTTGTTGAGGCTGAGGGTCCAGGTGGCGTTCCTGGGCTCCACCCTTGAGAACGCCAGCGTGAAGGTGCCGCGCGCCTGCGTCGCCGTCTTGTTGAGCGGGGGCACCTCGTTCTTGGGGAGGAGGTTGGCCTTGAAGCGCAGCTTCAACCTCTGGGCGTCAGCCGGGGCGGCGGCGACGCAGAGCGCCACCACCACAAGGGCGAGGAGGAAGTGCGGCCTCATGGTGCAAGGGTTGGGTAAAGCCTGCGCGGCAGAGTGGGCGGGGTGCGGCCGCGGGAGTTTCGATCAGGGTTCCTGTGACGGTTTGATGACGGGGTGCTGAGGTACGTGGCGTGCACCACCACCCGCTGCGCGGTCAAGCGGTGTGGTGAGGACGGGGGTTAGGGCCTGCTGCGGCCGATGGTGATGACCACCCTCCAATGTCCGCCAAAGGCTGCAACTTGGCAAGCAGCAGGAGCAAGAGTCCATGGTTATGGATGGTGCGTGCATTATGCTGGTTTTGGAGCTTGACTGCAGGACAGTGTGAGGCATGTGCTGCACCAGGAATCATCCCCAGATTCACTGATGGTTGAGTCCTGAACGTGGCTTGCAAAGAGTCTCGCACCTTGTCGAGCGTTCCGAGGCGCAGTACGTACGAGAGTACGGTTTTACGCGCGGGGGCGGACTTTAGCTGGAAAACGGTACATTATTGTCGACTCCCAAAGGGGCACTAGACGAGTGACCCATGCGAGGTGGTGGCGGGCATGTTTATTTTACAAAGTTATTATCACGGCGATTTCAGCTCTAAGAGCCTTGTCACGGCCGCTTGTGCTCCCCTATGATACAGTAAGTGGCTGCTTGCCGGTGCGCGATGGTGGTCACGTCCTTCCAGAAGGCAATGCGCCATGGAGGCCGTGCGACCAAAGTAAACACCTAAATTATACCACCATCCCAGATGCACGATGATCGGCAAGGGCGAGGCCACCTGGTGGCAGCCTGTCGAACCCATGGCCGACACCTACAACCACATGCGGGTCACGCGGTAGGCCACAGCCAAAAGGCGCTGCCCTGGCCAGCCACTGCCCATGTCAAACAGCCACGCAACCACCCTCGCTCTAACTGTAGCACGTACAGACGATGCCACTGCTGTGTAGATGTTGGGAAATGCGCAACAGCCAGCCCAGCAGCACCATCAGCACTGTTGCTTTCAAGGGAGCGATCTTGGTTGGCTGCTTACACCCACATACTGTCACCCTAGTATTTCGCGTTCTCCCTCTACTAGCACCCATCATATATCTCATTCAGCCTACCACATGTCTGATGCAGCTCAATTGCAGCATGGCTTGCTGACAGCAAGTCGTCGCGAGCCGCGGTCACGGCACCGTAACCTTTGCAATGCCTGAGCTCCCTGGCGCCCTGCCTGACAGCCATCGCATGAACGGCTGCCTGGGCCAGGCTTGCACACGCTTCTCTGTTGTGAAAGTGGCGCAACATCTACGCCATGCACAGAGGTTGCAGCTCTCTCGCCACTGCCTGGGGCCGTGGCGAGGAGCGTGTGGCCGAAACACACGGGGCAGCCCGTGGCAACTCGCTTGTGGATCGCCAACATCTGGTCGCCAACCGCGTGCCTAACACCTGGACCGACCGTACCCTGCAAGGTGAACAACCTGCTATCCTACGCAACCCCTGCCTCAAGCAGCGCACAATCCCGCCCTACACATGCACGCACATGCAGCACACTTGTCG